ACCTTTCAGCAGTCTAAGACGAATTCTTCTTCTTCTTCTTTTGATGTCAGTTGGCCCGACACAACAAAGGCCTGCAGAATATCCTGAAACCACCGAAGAAGAGCAAAGAAGGAGAAGAGGGAATCTCCTCCATGGTAAACATTCCTCCAACTCCTTCAACCCATTCTTTATCCATTTATGCCAGTATCGTCAAGCTTTATTTCTCTGCCTTCACCATAGACGGGACATGAGCCTTAGTTAATACATATACTCATAATGACTTTTCGGATAGAGATTCTGGATTTAATCTAATTGTCCGTCCCCTGATGTGGTCTTTCTTCTTTGTCTCCTTAGCTGAACTTAAACAATCGCCCCCTGTCACAGATGTTGAAGTCCACGGCTCCAGCTGTAGAAGTGGAGGAAGATCCTCTGGAGTTCTATGAACAGCTAACTGCTCAAATAGAGGTATTGCTGACAGAATTACCCTGACTTCACCATAGGGTGTAACTGCTCACAGGGAGATATTGATATTTATATATGAATGTTTATATTGATTTTGTAACATTTTTCACATGCACACACATGGATAATAATGATAATCATAAATAGAATAAAAAAGATAAATATTAAGAAAATAAGCACATAAATAGTGCAAAAAAAAAAGCTACATAAATGAAAAATAAATATAGAAAAAAAAATTACACGGCCATTTTATTTATTTACTCAACATTGAAAGGTGCTGCCAAAGCTTTCTGAACTTTCTTTCCGAGTTTATGGTAGTGCTTCTCAAATAGTGGGGCGCGCCCCCCCGTGGGGGGTTGCGGTGAGCTGTCATTGGGGTGCAAGAGGGGACTTTCAGTATACTGCCTTTATTTATGCCTGAACGATAAACGATAAAAGGCTCCACTAGATGGCAGCAGAGCAGGCTTTATTAATCTGTTTTGATAATAAGGGAATTGTATGCAGGATGCTAGTGCCAGCAACCGGCGCATACACTGGTTAGTACAGAGAAACAAATATTAGCAGGCGCTCAGTAGTACTTCAATACAGACTTATAGTCTTTATTGTCATTGTAACACTAGGATACAACGGAATTGAGCCTCTGCTTTTAACCCATCACCAAAGTGAACAGTGGGCAGCTTTAGGCTTTTAGGCCACATCAAGACGGAAGTGATGCCTATGTTCATTTTCTCACCTCCACGTTGCATACAGTAAAGTTGTTGTCCACTGTCTGTATGTGTTTTTTTAGATTGTGCGTGAAGATCGCAGCATGGAGCAGATTGTATTTCCCGTTCATCCCATTTGTGAGTTTTTGACCGAGGAGTCGAAGTGCAGGGTCTTCAACACCACGGAGCAAGATGAGCAGGGGTCAAAGGTCACACATTTCTTTGAACAAACGTCCTTCCTGCACGGAGAGATGGAGTGGCAGAAGAAACTCCGGAGTAAGGAAACTCGACACTCGTGCGTGACTGTGTGAACATGAGTGATTCTTGAAGTAGTCTCTTGAGACATAAAGAAGGACAGAAGATAGTGATGTGCTATATACAGTATAAGGCGTGGGCAAACCACGGCTCGGGGACCAGATGCGGCCCGTTTGGTGTTTTAATCCGGCCCTCCAAACTTGTCTGCCTTATCCCTGCAATGCCAGCATTTCTCCAGTAGATGGTGTAGAAAAGGCTTAAAGCACTTCAGCATTTTAGCCTTTATAACTTTTACATGTCATTTGTTTTAGTTCATACGAACGCTCCATCTATTTGCTCCTGACCTGGCAAATTTTAGGACCCATTGTGACCCGCGAGTCAAAAACTTTGCTCACGCCTGCTGTAAATAAATATATTATCCATTTAAATGAATGTTCCTGACTTTTCTCTCTGTGTGTGTGTGTGTGTCAGGTATGCCAGCCTTGTACTGGTTTTCAAGGAGGATGACTCTGTGGGGGACCATCTCCTTCAACCTGGCTGTGTTTGTTAACCTCATCATTGCTTTCTTCTACCCCTACAACTCTGGACAAGGTAGTGATACTACTATGTGTATTACTGCTACTGTACATAATGCCAAAGCTTTAAATAAATACTACTTCTGGTATTCAACAAAATACTGTCGCAGTTGTTTAAACTGTAAATAAGTACCGTACTTAATGATAATCACCTCTGTACACAAATACTAATCCAGACAATCATTACCATCATTACTATACAAATACTACCAAAGAACATTACTAAAAATATATATATGAAATACTACTGCACCTAAGTATTAATGTTCAAAATTAATACTATGTGAATATATATAAATATACTATATAAAACTTCCTGCAGAACAATAGAGCTTAAAATAAATACTATTCTAGAATTGCACCACTGCATGTTATTACTACACATAATATCACTGCACATATTTTAATGCAAATTAATACTACCGCAAAAAACATTACTACTTCGAATAAAAGCCAAAAACAGATATCTACAGTGTAAATAAATACTGTAAAAATACTTGAATACTTGACAAATATGCCATTGAGTAAAAATAAGAATTTAAAAACAAAAACATCAATAAAGTCTAAATCTTTTTTCTCTGCCCATTGCTCCTCGTTCTCCTCTCCCAGCCGGGGCGATTGACGACTCCTTGCTGCTGATGCTGTTCTGGATCCTGACGGGTCTCTCGGTTCTGTGTTTGTTCTCTCAGCGTTACGGCCTCCAGCCTCTAACTATCGCTCTGATCCTAAGGTCTATTTATCACCTGGGCATTGGAAACACACTCATCCTGCTGGGATCACTTAATGTAAGACCCTGAACCGACATCCGGAAAATGTTTATGTTCAAAAGAAAATGCTTCTGTGACATGACTATCTTCAAATCCGAAAGTTTTCATGTGTACGGCAACCAAAGTCAGTCAGTATCTAAAAAGTCTTCAATTCACACGTACAGCACACAGTAGTCTGGGATCATCCTTACAGCAGGGGTCCCAACCCCCGGTTCGGGGACCAGTGCTGGTCCGTAGGTCATTTGGTACCAGGCCACAGTGGAACACAATTTTACTAATTTACAGTAAAAAACTTTTTTTTTTCTTGTGTGTCTTTTTGTCTCCAGCTTCTAAACAAAGTGGTGTTTGTGGTGAGTTTTGTGGGAAACAATGGGACCTTCATCATGGGCTACAAGGCCATGGTGATGGACGTGGAGTTCCTTTACCACCTTGGCTACGTCCTAACGTCCACACTGGGACTGTTTGTCCACGAGCTCTTCTACAGCCTCCTGGTATGCACCAGTCAGAGCGTCGATGTTCTTAATGTGGCTCAAACAGGAAGTGAATGTCTGTTTGTTTTTGTTTGTTTTTTTTTTTGTACGTGCAGCTGTTCGACCTGATTTACAGAGAAGAGACTCTCTTCAACGTGATCAAGTCAGTAACTCGTAACGGCAGGTCAATCCTGTTGACGGCACTACTCGCCCTCATCCTGGTCTACCTCTTCTCCATTGTGGGCTTCCTCTGCCTGAAGGAGGACTTCATCATGGAGGTCGACCAACTGCCACAGATCGCTGCAGGTAGGGGACGCTCCGTCAGTCATGGGTCTGTAATCCCTTATATTTTGGTCTGTATCTACATCTGCGTGTGTTTACAGATACTCCTCAGAGTGAGGCCTCTCAGGTTTTCATGGACTCATGTTCTTCAGATGGCGTTAGTTGCACCTCAGAAGCTGGCATTGCTGCAGATGGTGAAGGTGAGATTTTCCCCGCCGACCGATTTTAGCATAATTATACAATATCTGTAAGAATCGTTATTGGTTTTTTTTGTCCAATAATGAAAACCCGATAGCGCAATGCCTGGGTTTTGCCGAAAGATTTGTGCCCTAAAAATAGTAGGGAAAAACGGCTGTATATGAAAGTGGAAGTCACTAGATGGCAGCATTGCACCTCATTATTAATAACTATATACTGTATTTTGATAATCAGTGGATTGTATGCGGAATATTGGACATCCCTACTTAAATTTTTTAATTGGTCTAAATTGCTTCCTTAATTTCCCGAAGAGAACACCAAAGAGATTAATAAAGTTCTACATCCAAAACAAAAGATTAATGATTTAAAACCTAATGAGTCGCTTCCGTTTCAACTGGCGCAGCTTATTCAGTCTTTACGGTAGCGGTTTAGTGGATGAGGAAACACACCGACCGATTGCATGTGAGTTAAATCATCCCGTGCCACAACACTCCAGACCAATCAAGACTCAGATGAGACTTTAAGAGACCGGAGGGATGAGAAAAAAAACTGGTAGAAAGAAAAAGAAAAAAAAAAAATCACGCCAAATCAAATCTGAACTAAGAATTCTGAACTACCTGCGCACGTGTGTTCCAGACGAGCCGAGCACAGAGCGAGCCTGTGACACTCTGCTCATGTGCATCGTTACTGTGTTGAACCACGGACTGAGGAACGGAGGAGGAGTGGGCGATGTGCTACGAAAACCATCAAAGAATGTAAGCAGAGTTTGATCATCTACATTTTGATCCGATGCTGAGGATCGGTATCGATCTGATATCTGTCATAATTTTTTTATTTGTCTGTTTGGGTTTATACAGTAGTAAGAAAATCACAAACACACGTACACAGTTAACACACATATATGCCAGCTGTAACCTACATGAACTCACATTGCCAATGACAAAAGGAAATGCCTGGTGTGAATACGAGGGGTTTTTGAAGCAGCAAGGGAATCAATTCACATTAAAACTAAAAAAAGAATGATGACATAAAGTAATAATAAATATAATACCAGCTGTAACCTACGTAAACTCAAATTGCCAATGACAAAAGGAAATACCTGGTGTGAATACGAGGGATTTTTGAAGCAGCAAGGGAATCAATTTGCATTAAAACTAAAAAAAGAAGGATGACATAAAGTAATAATAAATATAATGTCTATTTAAATTGATGTTTCTGAACTCTGACAACTGTCTACGTAGGAGCCGCTGTTTCCTGCTCGCGTTGTCTACGACCTCCTCTTCTACTTCATTGTCATCATCATTGTCCTGAACCTGATCTTCGGCGTGATCATCGACACGTTCGCCGACCTGAGGAGTGAAAAGCAGAAGAAGGAGGAGGTCCTAAAGACCACCTGTTTCATCTGCGGTGAGCGCGTTTAAGAAGTAATGTTGAGATGCTCAGGTATCTGGGCTTTTCTGGATTGCAACCGTTCTGGTTTGACACTCGCTGCAGGTCTGGAGAGAGACAAGTTTGACAACAAGACGGTGTCATTTGAGGAGCACGTGAACCTGGAACACAACATCTGGAACTATCTGTACTTTATAGTCCTGCTGAGAGAGAAGAACAGGACAGACTACACGGGACCAGAGAGCTACGTGGCCCACATGATTAAGGTGAGGAGGTCTTCAGCACCTGGCAGTGCACTTGACCACCAGCAGGTGGCCAACTTCAAAGCGAGATTGAAAAAATATGAATGTGGTCCAGTGACAGGACTCGACTGGACTTGAGCTTCTCTTTAGTGACTTTGACTTACAATAACAGTAGCTATTAATAACAAGCCAGTGGCCCCCGAAAGACTAGTTTAAGACAAATGTCTATTTTTTTTTTTGCCAGAACAACAACCTGAAAATGTCTATTTTTTTTTTTTTTGCCAGAACAACAACCTGGATTGGTTTCCTCGGATGCAGGCAATGTCTTTGGTAGTGACTGACGGCGATGGAGAGCAGAACGAGATGAGGATTTTACAGGACAAACTGGCAGCTACCATGAAGGTGGTGACAACACTGACGAGTCAACTGAACGAACTGAAGGAGCAGGTACTTGCTTTGTTTGTTTTTTCTTTTCTGCAAGTCATCTTGAAGTACTTAGGATATCAATGGAAAATCCATCTTCACACAACCGGGGGACCATATCAGCAATACAGTTCCCCTTGAATGGCCAGTTGTAACTGCTAAATAAAATTGCTTTCCAAGATGTTAACACTTGGCTTAGTGACTAGCCGTGGCTAACCTTAGTGTCATTTGTCGTGATTTAAACCTCTTTGATAACTTTGTAAACGCACCCTGTGTGTCACAGATGACAGAGCAGAGGAAGAGGAGACAGCGAATGGGATTTGTGGACGTTCAGTCTGGGGCCAGTGCTGCACTGCCCCCTTCTGCTGCAGGAGGGAACCACCAGATTTACAAATCTTAAATTATATTAGGATGTCTGATCATATGATCAGATGGTTTTTTTAAAAACAATAGCTGGACTGATATTGACATCAGAGAGAAAACACTACAAGTGCAACTTGTGGAACTCATCTATTTTGAAAGAAAAAAAAAAGTGTAAAATGTGATTAAAAAATAAATTGAAAAAAAAAAAAAAGGAGCCACTGATGGGCACCACAAGACATGCAGTTGATATCATATTTGCTTAAGTTAAATTATTTGTAAAATTTTGTTTAAATAATATGAATTAGTTTGTGTTTTTAGGTTATGATTTGTGTATTAGCTCATATGTTGCTAGCATTGTGGCTAATATAATTGCAGTTTCATATATATAATTTTGAAATATTTTGCTACGGTTTCATTATTTTCTACAGTAACCTAAGATGTTTTTGTCACATGTTGTTGCCGTTAGTCTATTTGCTAAATTAAAACGTAACTAGTTCTTAATATGCAATGTTTTATTAGAAATAATTTTAAGGCTACCTTTGAATTTTTAATGTGTTTTGCTCATCATGTTTACTTGAAAACAGAATATCCTTTTAACTGTCTAATTCATTGGAAACACCATTGGCCAAATTTGAAAGAATCTGTTTAAGATATTTTACAGTAAGAAAATGTAAGTAAATGGTATTATTTGTTTTGAAATTAAAGCTTCGTCGATACAAAACTTTATTTTATTATTTTCCATAAATGTAAATAATAACTACAAGTCTAGTATTTGTGGGTGGGGTGCAAAGACAAAAAAAGTAAGAACAGACTAACATGGACAGAGTGAAGATGCATCTCCTATCTAAAGCTGTAAGCCAAATGTCTGTTTATAGCTCTTTATCACCGTTTTTTTTTTAAATTGTGTAACAGGCGACGTAATGTACCATATAGATTTTTTAACTACTTTATAACTTCAAGCCCTGACACCAGTTATATATAAAAAATACACGTCAAGTTCCCGCCCCCGGAGGAACAACCCACGTCCGTCAGGTAGAACAACTAAAACTATTTGGTGTAATTATAACTACATAACCCCTGTTACATTCAACGCAGACGTTTTCCTTAAAATAATTTTTAAAATGTTTTTAAAAATATTAACAATAACTAGACAGGGTGTTTGGTTGCAAAACAATGAATATTAGTCAAGTTTTTGACATGGCGACTGTTATCGTTGGGGCTAGTTGATATTTCCATTTGCCAGGATGTCGAGAGGCAGGTAACAACGTCAACATGCATTATGGGAGATGTAGTTTATGGAAAGTTTATTAGAATTGTGATTTACTAACTACGTACGTATATGTTATAGACACAGAATTCGACCATTTATGCCGATTCAAGAATTTGTTTTTAGTACTTTCTCTTTGCTTTGCTTTACCGGTAACTTTAACACAACCCAATCATGTATTACCACTCTGGCACACAATAATATTAATAACAAAATGACCGTAAGCATCCACAGTTCACTTAATTATCAAAATACTGAAACTGACGTACGCACAAGAAAATCATATGCACATTGTAATTATTAGCAATTTCCCGGCATCACCTCTAAGTGTCGCCAAAGGCACAGCGGCTGTAGAAACGTGCGCCAATTACAGAGCTGTCGTGAGAACCGCGTATTTCCTTTTTGTTCGTACATGACGCCCCTGATGTCCCCCAGATGCTAAGGGCGGTCATGGCCCAGAGCTGGTGGGTGCGCTGTAGCTAAGAAATGCAGGAAGATGATTGGTAGAGGGTGGAGCTTATATGACCAGGAAGCTACAGGTAACTGCCACCACCCTACAGAAGGAGCAGTAGTAGCTGGGCGTAGAACACCGGAACTTGTTTTAACGGTTTAACTGAAACCTGCACAGGTAGGAAGAGCCTTAACCAACAGAGAATCTGCTTCTTTATGTCTGTCTTTTATACAGATACTTTGTGTGTGTTTGTAAGACGTATAAGGTGTGTGTACGTTATTCAACATGCGGCCTAAATTAAGGTGTGTTAGGTGTTGTTGTTTACCTTTGTATCTCTTTTGGTACCCTGTAAGTAGCTAACACGAGTTATCTAGTTAAACCCAGGTTTCATTTGTTGACCCTTCAAAACAAAATTTAGAGTTTTCTTCGGATAACATGAAAATGTGCCATTTTGCTTTTGATAATATTTCATATATGTTTTAACATTCACAATGGGCTAAAATATCGTTGAAACAAATCTGTGGCACCACCGCCTCTATTGCTATAGTTGCATTTTTTTATTTATTTATTTATTTATTTATTGTAATTTCAGTGTTTAAATCATTTGTTCAGATTTCCCCTAGTTTTCCAAACTGACCACACGGGGCAGCAGCAGACCAGCAACCTTTCTGTATTTATTAGTTAATTTTGAAATCTCTGTTTTTCAATAAGTTGTACAAACAAACGATTTTTTTTTTTTACCTAAAAGAATTTTTTATAGGTTTGTAAAATAAATTTCCCCCATTAAAAATGTCCAATTTATCTATGGGCTTAGGTGAAAGACTTTGTTTAGAATATTTAGACTTGCAATTAAGTCAAACTTGCTTAATGCAACCGATGCTGTTATGCCTCTACTCTTTTTATTTTTAAATGTGAAGTTCAAATGTATACAACAAAAAAGGCCGAAAGGACAGAGGAGAAAGTTTTTTTTACAGTAAATCAAATGTGATTTTTATTTTTTACCTTGGTCTGAATGAATGAAGTTAGTGAACCTTTAGTGTGAACACACCCTAAACGTCTGATGGCTGTACGGTAGTGGTTCCCAATGGTTTGTGATATTTTGTATATATATATATATATATATATATCAGTTTGTTTTTTTTAATACTACAAATGTTCATTTGTTCATAAACAAATTCACATGAACGCATGGGTGGGAACAGAAGAGAGATTCCTTAGAAAACAAAAAGTACAGTCTCTAACATTAAAACTGAGCAGCTCATACCTGTGGTTACATCCATCATTTAGGATGCTGACCATCAGCACTCCCTGTCCTCTAGGTGGAGGCCAGCTCTTTGTCAAACATAAATATCCTTCCAATCCACTCCGGGGTGGATGAGCCGGGAGCGCTCCACTGCACTTGACAGACAGCAGCAGG